GGGAGTTACGTGCCTTGTGCACGTTGTCTTTTGTATTTTCTTACACAGCCCTATCAGGCATATAGGAACAATGAGAGATGGCCTGTGAATAGGGAATAGGAGTGCTGAGGAGCTGGGGGCACTTCTTTACTTAGGTTTGTAGTAAAATAAACAGTACTTTTCCCAAAGCTCAGTCACTCCCATGAGCATAAGAACATAAGGATGGCCATACTGGGTCAGACCAAAGGTCCATCTAGCCCAGTAGTGTGTTTGCCGTCAGTGGCCAGCATCAGGTGCCCCAGAGAGGGTGGACCAAAGACAATGATCAAGAGATTTGTCTCCTGTTATCCTTCTCCAGCCTCTGACAAACAGAAGCCAGGGACACCATTTCTATCCACTGGCTAATAGCCTTTTATGGACCTAACCTCCATGAAATTATCTAGCTTCTCTTTAAACTCTGTTATAGTCACAGCCTCCTCTGGCAAGGAGTTCCACAGGTTGACTATGCACTGCGTGAAGAACTTTCTTTTATTAGTTTTAAACCTGCTACCCATTAACTTCATTTGGTGTCCTCTAGTTCTTCTATTATGGGAACTAATAAATAACTTTTCTTTATTCACCTTCTCCATACCACTAATGATTTTATATACCTCTATCATATCCCCCCTCAGTCTCCTCTTTTCTAAACTGAAAAGTCCCAGCCGCTTTAACCTCTCTTTATATGGGACCCGTTCCAAACCCCTAATCATTTTAGTTGCCCTTTTCTGAACCCTTTCTAAGGCCAAAATATCTTTTTTGAGGTGAGAAGACCACATCTGTACACAGTATTCAAGATGTGCATGTACCATTGTTTTATACAGGGGCAGTAAGCTATTCTGTGTCTTATTTTCTATCCCTTTCTTAATAATTCCTAACATCCTATTTGCCTTTTTGACCGCTGCTACACACTGTGTGGAAGTTTTCAGAGAACTGTCCACGATAACTCCAAGATCTTTTTCCTGATTTTTCGTAGCCAAATTAGCCCCCATCATACTGTATGTATAGTTGGGGTTATTTTTTCCAATGTGCATTACTTTACACTTATCCACATGAAATTTCATTTGCCATTTTTGTAGCTCTGCTACCTCCATCTGCAGAGTACTAGTTCTTGTTACCCTTGAACACTGAGCTTAACCTGGCTAGTTTTGTGGCTCCCCAGGAACTCTGATACTAACTGGAAAGATTTGGACAAACCCAGGATTCTGAAGAGAAAAACCAATACAGACTAGTTTCCAATTTTCTGTCAAAAATGTACCCCAAAAGTCTCATGCTGTTTAATTTGCAGATGGTTTTGTATGTGATAACACTTTAATGAGCTTACAATATGGAGCAACCTGAGAGTGTGGGTAAGGTTGAGCCATGTGACTTAATGGAAGCTGGTGAAAGGATTAGCTGCTTACTTCTGGTTACTTATGGGTTATGACGCTAAGCAGCAGTTGGTGGGTATGGGAGAACTGTCAGTCAGATCTCAGTAACCTCTGCCTCACCTCTGTTGTTTTTCGCATACTAGTCTCCCTCTGAACAGTGCCTCTCTGATGTCCTCTGTGTACATTTAGATATTTCTGCTTGGGGTTGCAGATGCAGGAATATGTGCAAGACAGTGGTGATATGATCCTTTCATTGTATAGATATCTTTTTTCACATGTATGCACACACACATGCAGTTCCTCCCTCCTTCTGTTCCTCTCTCCCTCACAAAAAGCTTCACTTTACTTCAGAGTGAAGCTGGCTCTATTGTATAGCCCGCCAACTCAAAATGTAAAAAGGGAACGTTTAATTATTCACCACCTCATACACTCGATCAGTCAACTTCTCTGTCTCAATCTCTGCAGCCTTCCTTTCACTAGGAAGAGTCTGAGCATCTACACTTACATCACAAGCAGCTCCTCACAGTGTAGCTATGTCTTGATTATTTGTTTAGGCTTGGTGTGGCCTTACTAATTCTGCTGTATGCAGACGTGTACGTGGTTTTGTGTGGGTAATAAATAAGATGCAATACCATATTGCAACTGGTGGCTGCAACATATTTGGTTTATTCCTGTAACGTTTAGGGAAGATTTTTCTGAATGGGTATTTGGTGTTACTGTTTGTTTTTAAATTTTGGTATTTATTTTTATGTAGAAATTTCAGAATTGAAATGTGTGTTTAAAATATATACACTCAGCAGGGTATTCACAGGAATAAAAATGTGACCCCTTTTGGGGTGGCATGTTCTGTGCTCCCCACTGGAGCCTCAGGGCTAGAAAAGTGTCCCATCTTCTTGTATTCAACCCTGCCACAGGACACCTGGACCAATGACTTCCTTTCCTACTGCATACCTTGTGGTTCTACTCACTGTCTGTTACTGTTGGTTAGGAGGGTTGCCACTATGTATCATTTCAGCTGCTAATTGGTGGAGGCAAAGAATAGGGTGGAATTGGAGAATGCAGGCTCCTGGAGGAGGGGAAGGATCTGATTACTCAGTGCTGCAGCTAAGAGCACTGCCAGTATGAGGAGAAGGGGGTAGGGGGAGACAGCTTCTACTGCAGCTCTGGGGCTTAGGAGCCTCACCCTTCTCCCAGGCCTGAGGAGTTCTGTGCCTCTTGCTGTTGTTGGGGCTGAGGGTACTATGCCCCTGCTTGTGCACACCCTTATCTGGTCAATGTTAAGCATATAGGCTGCGTCTAGACTGGCAAGTTTTTCCGCAAAAGCAGCTGCTTTTGCAGAAAAACTTGCCAGCTGTGTACACTGACCGCTTGAATTTGCGCAAGAACACTGATGATCTAACGTAAGATTGTCAGTGTTCTTCTGCAAATACTATGCTGCTCCCGTTTGGGGGGGGGAAAGCTCTCTTGCACAAATGTATTTGCGCAAGAGGGCCAGTGTAGACAGCTAAAAACTGTTTTGCGCAAAAAAGCCCCGATGGCGAAAATGGCTATCGGGGCTTTCTTGCGCAAAACCGTGTCTAGAATGGCACGGACGGCTTTCCGCAAAAAGCACTTTTGTGCAAAAGCGTCCATGCCAATCTAGATGCTCTTTTCCGCAAATGCTTTTAACGGAAAAACTTTTAGCGTAATGTGTTCTATGGACGTTGGGAGTGACCTTCACAGCATCTCCCTGATTCTTTACAGCTCTACTTTCTCCTTCATAGTAAGGATGTAAAATCTTGTTTAACAGTTAGGTTTAACTGGTCAACCACTTAAATTGGGTGGGTGGCCGCTCCAGCCCAGCCAGGCCACCGGTTAACTATTGACATCCCTACTTCATAGTGCACGTATACACACATGCACAGCTCTTGCTGAGCAGCCCTGCTTCCTTGTCTGTGCAGGATGTCTGGTAAATCAGGGAGGATTGTAGTAGATAGTGTGTGAGAATGGCAGTAACTAATAGAATTTGTCTGTTTTATTGTAGAATCCTGGCATAACTCAGTTATTTAAACCTAAATACATGGAATAATTCTTTTTTGGCTTATTTCTAGTACATTGCTTGTATGTATGAGGCTGAAAGAGGGAGTGAGTGGGTGAAATTGTCACTGTGATTATTCAGTTACAGGAACCAAAAGAAATTCATGTTTCAAAAAGGAAGCACTTCAAATTGTTTCCTTTGCAAAAATATTTAAAAAAATTATAACATTAAAATGCATAGAAATTTAGTTTTCTTTGGAAATTAATTATTTCATATTTTAGACTAAATATGATTAATATGTGGATGAGACAGCTTTTACATCTCCTTTAAGTAAAAATTTCAACAGTGTTAACTGTATAGTAGCTATTGATATCTTCATAATATGCAAGTAATTGGAAAAAAAATATTCCCCTCATTTAGAAGAGTCTCTACAGTGGTGGAGGGCAACCTGTAGTCCATGGGCCACATGCAGCTACTCATCATTGGCAGGCCACCAGACATATTATTTACCTTGGAGATACAACTACCTGCAGTTCCCATTGGCTGTGGTGTGGTGTTCCCAGCCAGTAGGACTATGGAAAGTAGTACCGGACAAGCCCTTGCTGCCTGCATTGCTTCCCACAGCTCCAAATAGCTGGGAATGGCAAACCGTGGCCTGTGGAAATTGCAGGCGGCTGGATCTGTGGTAAACAACTTGTCTGGCAACTCATTAGTGCAGTGTTTCTTAAACTGTGTTCCAGGGCACACTGGTGGGCTGTGAGGCAGTCGAAGGTGTGCCGCGGAGAACAACAGAGTTCAAAATGGCTGCCCTTAAACGGGGCAGGCGACCTTTATTTTTGCTCAGTAACCTTCCCCCAATTTCCCCCCCCCCCCTTCTTCCTCTATAAAAAATCCTTGGTGTGCCTCATAAAAAAAAAAAAATTATTTGGTGTACCCCGGTCTTAAAAAGTTTAAGAAACACTGCATTACTGGCTTTATCCGAATGAGCGACATGCGAGCTTGAAGTTGCCCACCATGTTTACAATTACTACTTATGTTGGTAAAACATAAAAACACAAGCCTGTGAGCAACATAAGTTGAGCTGGCATAAGCTTTATGTCAGAAACTTTCCCACCGATGCAGCTGCTGCTGTTCATTTGAGGTCGTTTAAATATGTCAAAGGGAGAGCTCTGTCCTATCAGCATAGAGAGCAGCTACACAAGAAATCTTATAGTGGCACAGCTGCATTGCTACAGCTGTGCCACTATAAGGTCTCTAGTGTAGACAAAGCCAGAAATCTTGGCAATGTTCCCTTGCAACATTGGGAACCCAAAAGGAAAAAAAATAGTAGTGAAAGTGGCTAACCTACACCCATTTTCATTGTCTTAGCTGTGCAACATCCCCACCGAAAGGAAATGGTTTTTTTTAAGTGGGTCTCATGTTGATCAGTTTTAATATTTGGTATCATGGTGTGTGTTTTCAATATGACCGTATCCCATTAAGAAATTACTAAAAGATATGTCTGCTGCTTAACATTTCATCCTGAGTTTGACATTTGATCAATATTGCTTATGCAGCTTGTGTTGCTTTTATTTACTCAATAACTGTTTTTTCCCCAGATCATTCAACATCAAGTGGTACTTCCTCGTTCAAGCCCAGCCGATCACTGGTCTCTCTTCCCACTGCCCATGTGATGCCGTCTAATGCCAGCTCTTCACTTTCCAAACACAGGGAAGCTTTGAAGTCTGATGGTTCACAATGGAATACAAACCTTTTACGATCAGGAGGAAGCCGAAATCTGGGCATACTGGACAACTCTCTTGACATGAAAGATGTGAGGCCTGTAAGGAAATGGTCATCCTTATCTAAACTCAGCACACCAGATAGCTGCAGTCAGGATGAAAGTGTTCTTTCCGGGGACTCCAGGGCTAGCACTGACAGATCAGGGAGAGACAAGACCACGTCACCACAATTAAGAACAAGTGGGCCAAGCTGTTTGTATAATAGCATGGAGTTGCTTAAAATTGAGGACAAAGAAACTGGGAAAAAAAGATCTTCTACATTGGATTGCAAATACAAATTTGAAAGTTGCAGCAAAGAAGACTTTGGTGTTTCAGACTCTGGAAATAGGAGACATGTCTTTGACATGACCTACAGTGCCTTACCTGAAAGCAAGCCCAATGCAGCCTGCAGTGAGACACTTGGGCATAGATATGTAACACTGGGACAGCAGGCTATGAGTGGAGTACCCATTCAGCCCTCAGTCAGGACTCAGATGTGGCTTACAGAACAGTTGCATGCAAATCCTCTGGACTGTAGGACTTCTGAGGAGTCTTACGGTTTGGCATCTTGGCAGCTGCAACAGTTTGAAGAACTTCCATCAGGAAATGAGCACCCAATGCAGGTAAGAATAGAAATTTGGTGTTTGCTGCCATCAGGTGGGCAATAAGAGACACAGCATCAAGCATGTTTTTATTAAATGTATGAGGTAAGGAAGTGTGTTCATAACTCACCCATGCTATAGTTGGTTTTTCATCTTTTAAACTCTTTGTACGATTTAATGAAAAACTGATTGCAGTAGAGTGTCATTATTATTTGAGTGCTAGCAGTGTGCTTCCGTTAATTTACAGATGCTGGCAGTTAATTATACCAGACAATTTACCCAATGGATATGAGAACAGCATCTGTACTTTTTGCAATTGTATAACAAAAAGGATACAGCTAGTTACATTTTGGCATCATTTTAAGAGATCCTTTAATTGAAATGGTGTGATATGCTGAATGGACTTTATCATTTGAATTTATTTATAAGGAAACACCACTTCCTTTTGGCTTGTAACAGATTCATAGTAGGCAATGATCTTCACATATGCAAGAATGGATACTTCAAACATTCCTAATTGCTTCATTTATAAACCAAACTGATTATTGATGTTGACACATTATCACTTTCTGATGTGTTCTGTTTTCTTAAAAAATTAAGCCTTCAAGATTGTCCTCCCTCACTGTTTTGTGTGGGCATAAAATTTAACATAGTTTAACAAAAATAAAGCATTACATACATTATAATTATTATTTCAAAACATAGCCATCTATATGCATGTCCGTTTGCAGATACTGATGTTACCATGGATCTCGGAATAATTTGTATTCAAGGATAAAACCAGCAGAGGGAGCACAGACAATAGTTATCTTTTTGGCTGAGCTCACAAAACAATGCTTCTCTTCTGCAGATTTTCAGGATTGTAACACATCTAAGATAAGCTTTTGTTTAAAACTTTATGTTCTATTTTAAATTCCCTGTTTTGTACTGTTTTTGGAGTCCATTCTTCTTCAATTTTTATATAAAAATTAAGTTCCTTGTGTCAAGCTGTAGCTTTAGGGAAAGTAATCTCAACTGCCCTGGAGAAGATCAGCATTTGATTTCTGAGCTATTTGGCCCTGGTTTATACTACACACTTATTTTGAGTTTCTCCCATTGATATAGCTACCACCTCTCATGGAGATGGAACACCTCCCGTACACTAACTCTTCTGGCTAGCCTAGGGTGGGAAAGCTGGGGAACTGTACACAGTGGTTTGGAATACAGTGGTTAATAATGCTTAACAGTAGCAGAAGCCAGTAAGCAGCTGATTAAGAGTGGTATCTATAGATCACATTTCAAAGCCTGTCTTGTCTCCTTCAAGTGAGAGATTGGGGTGGTGGCCTACATGAGGAACACTTGAACAATGGGGAGATGTGTATATTGGAGCATTTGCAATAGCTCAAAGCCTTTTAGAAGCAATGTAGCAATGCTTAAAAGAGGGAGAACAGTTTCCTTCTTTTATCGCTGCAATTAGAACTTGGTATTGTTTAAAATAATCTTATTGCAACACCTTTAACATGTTTCTAGGATAAAATGTATTTATTTGTAATCCTTTTTTACATTTTGAATATTGTCTGAACAGCAGAATCACCTGAAAACGATTTGCTACTGTTTCTGAAAAATTAAAAATCTTGTAAAAAGTTTTTATTAAAAAAAAAAAAAAAAAGTAAAGCAGTGCTATTGTGTACAATATAACAACAGGATGATAAACTTTCTTTTCCCTTTCAGAGTAAGGACTTTCATTTCATGACACTAGGGATCGTTTTTGCTGATTTTGACAATTTCTAAACAGTGCAATAAGGAATATGCTATATGCTTGGAAATGTGTAATGATTAAAATGCAGTGATTTTTAGAGCAGAGAAAACCCACATATGCTGTTTCTGTATTAAAGCAAGCACTCCTACCCCTGCAATTTATCTTTGACTAAGAATGTAATCTTCAGGACAAGTTCTGTCAACATCAGAAAGTGTGTACAGAAAAGTTGGCCTTTTAAACACATTCTAACCACAAATTTGGTCTATATGGACAGCATCTGCATATTGAAACTGTTTAAAAAAAAAAAAAAAGTTCAGTGGATCAACAGATGAACTGTTCTCCAGAGGAAATGCATATTGCTTTGAAGAAATTACACCTGAGGCTATAATATCTACTCATGCATTGTGAAACAAATTTCAGGGGAGATGCTAGTTTATAAGTGTGTCTCTGATACTCACCAAAACCATGGGAATGTTCTCAAGGTTGCCTTTACTAATGTGTGCTGTTTTCAGAACATATGTTTTATCAAGTACTTTAAGGTATAAACAGACCTTTAAACAGCAGATTTTTTTAAAAGAAACATATGGTTAGCATTTTCTCTGAGTTAGACGAATCCACATTATATTCCCATGCTGTCAGGCATTATGCTTTTTTATTCCTCACTTTTTTTCTTCCACAATGCCTAATGTTCCATCACACAGCAATCCCATTTTACGTAACTTTTTACACAGGAAAGGACTGCAGCATTCAGCACCTGTTAGTGCTAGCCTGCTCTCTAAGTTCAGCAGCTGTGTTTGAATTGGGATGTAAAATCCTAGTTATTCAGTTAACCAGTTAAATGTTGAGGCTTTCCACAGACCGGGGATGCTCTGGACAAGAGCAGCCCCCATCCACAGCAGTCCCCCTGCGGGGCAGGAGAAGTCTCTTGCCTGCAGTAGGTGGGGAGCTGTTCCAGCCCCCCTGGTTACTGGTTATCTGGCACCAGTGAGCATTACCCATTAAAGGTGATGCTTCCAGTTAACTGGTTAATCTTTTACATCCTTCGTTTGAATTATGAGTAGAGTCTCATAGCCTACCATTTTTGGGGCAGGTCTCACTACCCTGAGTGACTTGGACTGACCTAAGTGTGGCTACATGGCGTGGAGCTGGCCCTGTACTGAAGTCAGGCCTATGCCCTTACCATCCACCCAACTGCCTCTCTCAGCACTCTTGCTGTGTTTATTTTTGTTTTGTTTCATACTGTGGTGACTAAGGATGTAATAGTGTAATGGATTAACTGATAAGCAAAAGCTTATAGCTTAATGCTGTAGACTACACAGATTTCCCCGCCACACACCCGGACCAGTAAATTTTTTAGCAGGATAGTCAGTAGCTCGGCTCAGTCCTGGCTAGCAACAGGTCTGGGATCTACTCCTGCTGCGGCTTTGCATTTAAAATGTGTTAGGAGCCGGGCGGGTAGGCAGCCTGGCTCAGTCCTGGCTCATGCTGATTCCGGGAGTTCAGACCCACCCCCCCAGACAGCAGCTGCTGCCACTTTATCAGAGGCAGCAGCACAGGGTGACAGGCAGCTGGTCCACAAAAGGAGCTGGTTTTTAAACTGGCTCCCCTCACAGACCAGATCCCTCCTGGCACCCCATGCTGCTGCCTCTGATACAGAAGCAGCAGTGTGGAATGGCAGGGGACTTCTCGGGAGGGAGAGCGGAGTGCACTGGTTGTCAGCCCCTCTCCCAAGGACTATAGAATAGTCGACTAACCAATAAGAATTCATGAGGTTACTTGACTATTCAATTAACCAATATTTAACATCCCTAACGGTGACACTTTAGCCTAATATACTATGCCAGTTCAACTGTGACACTGCATCTGTGCTGGGTGGAAGTTACTTAGGAATCTGGCTTTCCCCGTAATTTGTCTGTTTGCCAGCTTCCATTAAGAAGGTGTTTACCCTCCTTCTCAGTTTGAAGTATGCATTTTGAAATGGGAAAAAAAAATCATTTTGAAATATCAACTCAGAGAATTTTCAGTTTGGCCCCACCTGATTAAAAAATTGGAATTGTTTCTTAAAATAAACATTACCCCACCAAAAATTTTAATTTTAATTTAACTGTATTTCCAGAGAGACTTTTTCATGCTAAAATTTAATTTTAAGTCACTTTTAGTTTAATTAACATTCACTGTTGTAGCTCTCTGAAAGAGATGGTTTTGGGATTTCATAGCCAAAAATTCACTTTAATACAGTAAGTCTGTGGGACTGGTTTTGGATATGCATTGATGGCTGATGGGCAAACCCAATCCTGATCATTTTGGTCAATTAAAATATTATGCCTCTGTTTGCTGCAGAAAATGTGTTACTCCCAGTATCTCATACAAATTCATATTGTCTTGTCAAAACGGAATGTTTTACTATCTGTCTCGAACTAGCGTAGTATCAATATTTGTTTGATAAACAATTGTTGCATTTCTCCCTAGACATAGCTACACATTTGTGGAGGGTGGTGAGATTCTTATACAGGTTGGACCTTGCTGGTGCAGCACCCTTGGGATTTGCCAGACCAGGGTAGGTCCCTCCCTCACTTGCTTGTGCTGCCACTGGGCTAGGGATGCATGCTGCCCCAGCTGCTGCCTGAGGCTCTCTCCAGCCCTGCTGCTGGTGTCCAGGGTATAGGGATGGAGGCCAGAGTTCCCCAGATTCTGGGGCCAGGGAGCTCCGCTGGGGCCAGAACTCCCCACCATGCTGTTCATCCTCCTGCCCATGTACACACACTCTGGGCTCCCGGCTGAGTGACCAGTGCCCCATATGGCGCTCCTGCCCTGCCACAAGCCCTCCCTCTTCCTGGGCTCTGTGGTCCAAGAACATTGTGGTCCATGCCGGACCAGAGAGTCCTGGTTAAGGTAGGTATAACCTGTACCTGTATGCTCTGTTTGTAGAGTGATTTGGAATTTAAAAATGAAATATAAATACAACCCATAAAGTCACCATTTTTCCTTTTTTCACATTGTCTATTTTGATACAAACTTTTAGATAGCTGTAGTTGTTTATATATACAAAATACATTCTACAGCAGTGTATGTGCCATGTCTGTGAATAGGTGTATGATTAGAAATTTATAGCATGGTTGTTCTTTTTTACTGCCATGGCCTTTGGATTAGTTTGGTATATTTCATGTTGTGGTAATGTGCTTACTTAGGCTTTAAAAGGGCATGTTAATTAAAACATTAAGCCTACTCCTAACATTGAAATCCCTTGTATATGAACGTACACACATTGTTTTAAAAGCAGAATAGCATCCAAAATATCAAACAAAACGTGTTAAAGTGCATATAATAAAGTAGCTAGGTAACTTTTTTTTTCTTTGAAGCATACATTGACAATTGATACAGGAATTCTGTATAACACAGAATAGAATGCCTATTGACTTTATAGCTTGTTACTACATATGTCTTTTTGATTTTTCAAAAGGTGGTTTAAATATTTATTGCACATACTTCATTCATAGACAGCAGTGAAATGCTTTAATTGTAAGTATCCAGGCCGTCTTATCTACTATTACATGAGACTTTGGGCAGCTTCAGAGAGACGGAAGTAGACTGTGGAGACTTGATATTGTTCTCTATTTTATATTACTGTTATTACTTAATATTTTAAGCTAACAGCTAACTGGTGAAATTTTTTCAATGCTTATCCATAATAGTACTACTTGATGACTTTTTTTCAAATGCTGCTGGTATACTTTTTAAATAAATTATTTTTTATATATATTTGAAGATGCATGACAAATCCTGCAGCCAGTTGGTGGGATTTGCTTTTCCATAGCCAAAATTACATTTTGTTTTTTCTTTTCCATACGTAATCTGATACTTCCCATCAGTTAGCTCTCGGTGCCTCTCTTGTCCGTTTCAGGCCTGTGTTTCAGTTTCTGCAAAGAGGCTACTCTATGAAGATTCCATTTTTGTGATTTCTGTTGTCCTCTTAGCAGAGATTGTTTTGATTCTTAGTTGTTTAAATACAGGTTTGTTACATCAGTGGTAAGAGCTCAATATATGCTTCAATAGTGTCCTTTTGTAGCCGGCATGAAACTATATGCTCTTCTTAGCCTTTGGCAAGTATGCTGATTGTTTTGCTTTTAAGACGTTTTGCTGTAGAATAGATACATGAGCATATAATAATCCTACAGTTTAAAGGCACTTTTCTGTCTCATACAGTCTTTACATGTTATGTTCAGATATTTGGAAGTGTCAAGTTATCATTGCAAAAAAAGCAGAACTTCAAGGTAATTCACATGAGTTTCACCAGGATAAACATGAGCACCAGAACCATAACAATAAGCAGAAAATTGAGTAGCAAGTTGAGGCCTCTGTTGTTAGCAAGATCCATAATTTGCACTAGTCTGATCTCTTGTGCTTGTAAGGGAATTCTTGATTGTAGCTTCTGAAGGTTCAGTTGCAGTAGTAATTCACATGTATTTCATCCTTGTTTCAGCTTTCTACCTGTCCTCACTTTCTGTCACCTAAGAGAAAATGTTCACAGTAACTAATAACTTAAAATTTTATGACTGCTAACATTAATCGTCTCCTTTCTCTGGAGAGCAGCAGCTTATTTGGAAAGTTAACTTATCTGATATCTCCTATTTTGCTACTGCTCTTCTAAGGAACAGATCCATAGTGAAAGAAATTGAGATTTTTTTTTTTTAGCAATTTTATTTAAAAATGAAAGACGTGTGGGGTGTTGTCCAGGCAAAGCTCTTGTCAACGTCACATATGGAATAACAGGCCTGAAACTTCCTTGGAAGCCCATTACATTTCAAAAACTGGCAGCTGAGCACTTTTTGGAAGAACACTAATGTTTAAAAAAGCCTAACATTTCCTAAGATAGGTCAAATACACCTTTGCAAATAGAGAAATTTCCTGCCCTTCTAAGGTTTTGAGCACTGTGTGGCACAGTGAGCCACATCCTCTTATTTTTGCCAGCGCTGTGTTATGTAAGATTTATGACAGCCCAGCAAAAGCCTTATTAAGAGCCTAGTTTGATCTGGCAGAGGCTGTATCTTTACTGCTTTTAATAAACATATACGTAATAGTTTATTTAAAAATTTAATAACTTAGCAATTGTGAAAACAAAACATAAACAAATAGGTTTGCTCAATACTATGTGCTAAATGCTGCCAAAGCTTCATTTGGATGGCAAGCCAATCTTCTTGAGGATGGGAAGGGGGCTATTTATGGTTATCAAATACATAAAACTAGTACCTTTTTGCCATTTTATACTTGATCCTGACTAAATTGTTTCCTATTACAGAACTTCCACTGACTTAAGTGGAGTCATGCTAAAGCAAGGATCTACTGAATCTTCTGTTTCCATTTTTTTGAAGGACTGATGCAAGCTTATGGCTATACTTTTTCTTCTTGTATATATGTAAGATAGACTAGAACAGTGGCCTCCAACCTTTTTACACCCAAGATCACTTTTTAAATGACAGACCAAGCCAAGATCTACCACCCCGCCCCCTTCCTGGAAGCTCCGCCCTCTCTATTCTCCTCCTCTCCATCACTTGCTATCCCCAATCCTTATACTGCTGCTTAGTTTTTTTTATTATTATTATTATTCTGTAGGAAGAGGTTTTTCCAACATTTGGCCTGTCTACACTGGACCAAATGTCAGAAAAAACCCCCTTCTTTTGGAAGCCACCTTATTCCTTGTGGAAAGAGGAATATGGGGGTGACCAAAAGAGGCTGTTTGCTCTTCCACTAAAAAAGCGGAAGAACAAATGCAACCCTGGATGCAGAAGAGTTTTTCTGGGATATCTCCAGAATCCTGAAAAACTCCTGCAGTCTAGCTGGACCCTTGCTGGGTTGAGACAGGATGTGTGGGCTTTGGGGTGGGAATGAGGAATTTGGGCATGGGAAGGGGTGAGAGGTGCAAGCTCTGGGAGGAAATCTGGATGCAGGAGGAGGTGGAGAAGGGGACACTGGCTCGGGGAGGGGGCTCCAGGCTGGGCAGTGTTGGGATACTAAGCACAGGCTTGCGGATGTGAGGGTGCAGGAATTTGGGTTGGGGTATGTGAGGGGCTG